ATTCCAGATTCATTATCTAATTAGACTTGGTGTTTCACTCCACATGTTGAATTTACAGTCAGATATCATTGTGAGAAACATCCATGGCAGGTAAATAATATACCTGTGAACTATTCGAAAAGGCTGATGAAATTAAAGTGGCTTGCATTTTCCCCAATAATAGTTTCAAGGCAGGTGAAAATTCACAGCAGAACAATAACTTAATGAATGTGAGCCCAAGAATAAAAATGGAAATAGGAGACAAAAGGAATATTAATAAAACCTGTCACCCGTGGGACTCATCAGTTTTTTTTTTTTCTGTATTTCTAGAAAGGTTCCAGAATGTTACTCTTCTATTCGCCACTTAAAAAAATACATTTTCTTAGATTTTAATTATAATTAATATACTTTTCTACTAAATGCTGACCTGTTTTGCCACTTGAATATCAGTTTTAATTGTCATCAGAAGTCACTTAGAATATTCTCCTTGAAACAGTGCCCTTGCTGACATTTAGTTTCATTTTTCCTTAGTATTTGTGGAGAAAAGTAACATGAATGCAAATAAATCCTCAGGCTTAATAATTTAATTTTAAATATATCCATGGAAGAACTAAATGTTTTTTCATAAGAAAATTAGACACATTTGTTGGGCGGGGGGGGCGGTGAACATTCTCGTTGGAATTAGAAATATATCCGAAATGGAGCAGTAGTATAAAAAGAACACTGCCAGTGGTTCATCCTTAAATGTGCGCATAGCATTTTTCCCTTAAGTTTTATTGCATGCAGGGTTTAAGTTAGATATATCTTGAAAATACGTGAAATTTTAGTGCAATGATGATAAACTCTTTATAAAAATAACTTTATAGAGACCCCTCCCCACCTAATCCACTACACTTAATTGTTACATATTCTCTTTTGGTTAGTTTATTCAAAACTTCCTGTTACTCTACCTGTAAGTAAACCAAAAAACTAACAGAATTCAGCTCCCAAAAAGCAGACATTGCTATTGTGATATAAATTTAATTGTAGACCATTCATTTTAATTTCAAAGCAGATTGCCACCTGAAAGTGATGGCTTTTAGTTTTATTTTTAATGAAATACAATTGAAATTTGGGTTACCTCTCAGGTGAAATGCCTGGCTCTTTATTTCTGGCTCTACCTATCTCATAAGAAATCAGGAGTAGGCTCTCCTCCATCCTGCTGTGTTCTTTGCCTACCATTCTCCTTTTCTAATTAGAATTTCTAAACATGTAGCAAGGGCCTATTATACGCCATATACATATATATCTGACTTTGTGTGCGATACTTGTCTTATTTAATTGGTACTTCCCAATCCAAAGCTTCTCTGGGGATCTATAGAGTATGTCAGCTTCTAAGCATATTTCCCTGGAGGTACCAGGGAAAGGAGTTCTCTGTTCTGGCCTGTTCAGTCAGTTACCATACTACATCTGCTGTTGGCTTAAAAAAAAAAATCCCTATCTATTGATGTATCTTTCATTCTTACCTTTTGTCCTATTGGGTTATACATTTTGTTTTTTTAAAAAAAATCCCTCTACTGTCATTTTAGTGTGTTCTTCAGATGCAGGGTTTATGGTTAGTCAGCCTTGTTTAACCAGAAATCCAGGAACCATTTGTTCATTGCCACCTCTCAAGTGCTTGGCACATACTAGATTATAAAATAAATGCTTGATAAATGAGTTATTGAATCAGTTGAGTTAGAAGTTTTTATAGTAATGGGAGGCTTTGATGGCAGAAATATATTATGATTGTATATGTATATATAACAAAGTAAAAGACATCTTTTAAATGTGGTTTTGCTTTAGCTTCATTCCATTTTTTGTTTTTGTCTCTCAAGGTAGCTAAGGAAACGTTTTGAAGTGTGTCCATCAACAAAATGAAAAGGCAATGTACTGAATAGGGGAAAATACTTACAAATCATGTATCTGATAAAGGGTTAATATCCATAGTATATAAAAGAACTCATACAACTCAATACTAAAAAGACCCCCAATAATCGAATTAAAAATGGAGAGATCTGAATAGACATTTTTCCAAAGAGGTCATACAGATGGCCAACAGGTACTTGAAAAGATGCTCAACATCAATTAATCATTAGGGAAATGCAAATCAAAACCATGATGAAGTATCACCTCACACCTGTTAGAATAACTATAATAAAAACAACAAGAAGCCCTGGCTGGTGTGGCTCAGTGGGTTGAGTGCCGGCCTGCGAACCAGAGGGTCATCAGTTCGATTTCCCATGAGGGCACATGCCTGAGTTGCAGGCCAGGTCCCCAGTAGGGGATGTGCAGGAGGCAACACACATCGATGTTTCTCTCCCTCTCTTTCTCCTTCCCTTTCTCTCTCTCTCAAAATAAATAAATAAAGTATTTTTTAAAAAATGGCAAGAAGTGTTGGTGAGGATATGGAGAATAGGGAACCTTTGTGCAATGTTGGTGGGTCTGTAAATTGGTACAGCCACTATGGAAAACAGCATGGAGGTTCTTCCAAAATTTCAAGAAAACTACAATATTACCCACAAATTCTACTTCTATGCATTTATCCAGAGAAAACAGCAACATAACTTGAAAAGATATCTGCAAGCCCATGTTCTTTGCAGCATTATTCACAATAGCCAAGATAATGGAAACAATCTAAGTGTTCATCGATGGATGAATGGATAAAGAAAATCTGGTATATACATGCCTATGTTTGTATATATGTATGAATGTATATGTATGAATGTATATGTATATGTGTTTACACATAATGGAATATTATTCAGCCATACAAAAAATGAAGCCTTGTCTATTTGCAACAATATGGATCAATCTTGAGGGCATTCTAAGTGAAATAAATGAGACAGATAAAGACAAATACAGTGTAATTTCCCTAATATGTGGAATCTAAACAAAACAAAATAAGAAAACCGTGCTCATAGATACAGAGAATAAATTGGTGGTTCCAGAGGTGGGGCAATAGGGAGTGGCTGAAATGGGTCAAAGGGATCAAAATGTACAGACTTCCAGTTATAAAATAAATAAGTCATGGGGATATAATATATAGCATGGTGACTATAGTTAATAATATTGTATATTTGAAAGTTGCTAAGATAGTAGATCTTAAAAGTTCTCATCAATAAAAATTTTAACTATGCATGATGACAGATATTAACTAGACTTATTGTGGTGGTCATTTCATAGTGTATAAAAATATCAAATCATTTTTGTACAACTGAAATGAAACTGATGTATGTCAAATATTTTAATACAAAATAAAGTGTATTCTACTTCCGTATGATATATGTTTATTTTCTTGGTCAAGAAAAATTATAGCTGTTATTATCAGGCTTAAGATACACATTTGCCTGTTTATAATTTTTCTCTATAGACAGACTTGTATTGAGGCTGATTTATGTAGCAAGCACAGTCTTTATTCTTATTTATACATATATTTAGGTTTTCCTAAAGAGATTATGGTGTCTAACTAGCACAGCCCCCTAATCATTGGCCCTTTGTGTTTAATAAAATTTGAGAGTCACTGGTTTAGTGTGGTATCTCATCCACTTTGCATTTCAAAGTGAAAATGTGAAGATGGATAACATCTAGTAGGGACAAATAAATTGCGCTATAAAAGTGAGAATAACTAGTAAAATTAGTTTGAACAAGTAGATTATTCTCCTTATTCATAAAGGCAGCCCTGACAACAGAGGGGGTTGTAGAGAGATACAAGCGTGGTAGACATTCCATGATTTGGCTATAACACTGGATTTTGGGTCTGGCAAATTGGGTGTCTCTACCCTCCATACCCCAAGAAATGAATAAAATGACTTTTGGAATTTACCCCTAAAATTAATGACTAATTATAAGTCCAAATAATGAGCAAGTTAAGCTTCCATGCATTTATTTTTTCCAAATCTTTGGGATTTAGTAAAGGAATCTACCCAGAAATCTGAAGAGAATTCCTTCTAATTAAAGAGGCTATCTCTGCAATAAAGAAGGAAGAACCTACCTCACAAAAATGGGTTAGTAAGATGATCGGCTAATAAAGTCCCCTCAGAGAACTTTAGGTTTGCAGAAGTTGGGATAAAGATAAGAGGTGAAAGGAAACTTTTTGGAGTAAGATAAACAAATATATGTATGTTTTCTGGAACATTATTCTCTGCTGCTGAGTATTTTTCTGGTCCTCTCCTTTAGAAATCCCATCTTTATTATCTGGTTGACATCTCCTGTCAAGTTGCTAACACATAATAAAGTCGGTTTTGGGGAGAGGAAATTGAGAAGATAGAAGTATTTGTATGAGGAAATAAAGGATGGAAATTGGTGGGCATTGGAAAGAAGAGAGAATATGAGGAGCAAAGTGAGCTTTGGAAAAAGAGGCCTTGAAAATATGATCAAGACTTTTTACATATAATTTTCCTTGTCCTTTTGAATAACTTTTCTAGGGTGGTGATGGTGGGATTCCTGGGGGTGTTGGGGGGAAGCAAAGAAACAGAAAGCCAGGAGAATGTTTCAGACCTTTTTAGAAAATAACCTATTACCTACTTATAAGGGTGTTAGGACAAAAGCATTAAATAGAAAACTGAGTTCAGGTTTTTTCCATCTAGTTTTGTGCGAATGTAAAAATAGAATATGAACCTGTACCAAAGGTCTATTAAGAAAAATATTAGTACTCAGGAGAAGCAGATAATAAAATCTGTATTAATAGTGACTATGAAAAGGCAATGCCACTATTGGAAGTTTAAAAGAAAAATTAAAAATAAGGTGGTGACTTTTGACTTTGAAGCAGTAATATATTTTGATTCTTTTTACTTTCACATCATATATGGAATTACCACCATGGCTGACTAAAAATGAAACAACAGAACAAAAATATTTTTGTGCTGTCTTTGCTGGAGACATAAACATTTTTAAAGGGTTAAAAAAGTCAAACTGATTCTTCATGACGAAATATAAGAAGTCAAGTGTTATTTACAAAGCTCATTTCTCATTTACTTTCTGTGTTTTGGGCTTATTTTCAGGCAAAAGGACTCCTGTGGAAGATGGAAGCCTTTGTTTATTTTCCAGAATATGTTTCCAAGCCCATCAGTGAAACGTGATACTGCTGCTCGGTGTTGGAATGCTTGAAGAACACCCACTTACCTGCCGGCCCCTTCCATCCTACTGAAACCATGGTCTTCTCTGCAGTGTTGACTGCGTCCCATACTGGGGCAACCAACACCACGTTCGTAGTCTATGAAAACACGAACGTGAATATTACGGTCTCCCCACCATTCCAGCATCCTGGTGTTGGTCCGCTGCTGAGATACAACTTGGAAACCATGGCTCCCACGGAGATGAGTTCCTTGACAGTGAACAGCACAGCTGTGCCCCCAACACCAGCAGTTTATAAGAGCCTAAACTTGCCTCTCCAAATCCTTCTCTCTGCTATAATGATATTTATCCTGTTTGTGTCTTTTCTTGGGAACTTGGTGGTTTGCCTCATGGTTTACCAAAAAGCTGCCATGCGATCTGCCATTAACATCCTCCTTGCCAGCCTGGCATTTGCAGACATGTTGCTGGCAGTGCTGAACATGCCCTTTGCTTTGGTAACTATTCTTACTACCAGATGGATTTTTGGGAAATTCTTCTGTAGGGTATCTGCTATGTTTTTCTGGTTATTTGTAATTGAGGGAGTAGCCATCCTGCTCATCATTAGCATTGATAGGTTCCTCATTATAGTCCAGAGGCAGGATAAGCTCAACCCATATAGGGCTAAGGTTCTGATTGCGGTGTCTTGGGCAACTTCCTTCTGTATAGCTTTCCCTTTGGCTGTAGGAAACCCTGACCTGCAGATACCTTCCCGAGCCCCCCAGTGCGTGTTTGGGTACTCAGCCAATCCAGGATACCAGGCTTACGTGATTTTAATTTCTCTTACTTCTTTCTTCATACCCTTCTTGGTGATACTCTATTCGTTTATGGGCATACTCAACACTCTTCGGCACAATGCCTTGAGGATCCATAGCTACCCTGAGGGTATCTGCCTCAGCCAGGCCAGCAAACTGGGTCTCATGAGTCTACAGAGACCTTTCCAGATGAGCATTGACATGGGCTTTAAAACACGTGCCTTCACCACCATTTTGATTCTCTTTGCCGTCTTCATCATCTGCTGGGCCCCGTTCACCACTTACAGCCTTGTGGCAACATTCAGTAAGCACTTTTACTATAAGCACAACTTTTTTGAGATTAGCACCTGGCTGCTTTGGCTCTGCTACCTCAAGTCTGCATTGAACCCACTGATTTACTACTGGAGGATTAAGAAATTCCACGATGCCTGCCTGGACATGATGCCCAAGTCCTTCAAGTTTTTGCCGCGGCTCCCTGGTCACACAAGGCGCCGGATCCGCCCCAGTGCAGTCTACGTGTGTGGGGAGCATCGGACGGTGGTGTGAATACTAGAACTGCCTGACGTTTTGGGTCATGGTGGTTCTTTATCTGACTCTGAATTTTCTTTCACATGGCTTTTCCACTTACACTTTATTGTTTCATAGGTTTGTGTGTAAGTGTGTGTGTGCAGTGTAAAGAAGGAATGATGATTAGTTATAAATCTGTTACCAAGGATATACACAAGGGAAGTGATCACCAATGTTACCTCCAGGATTCAAGAGAAGTCCTCGATTTAGGGTGGGGGGATGGCTTTTTGTTTCTTTGGCTGGTTTTGTTTTGGAAGTGGGAATCAGGATTGTGTTTCATTGAGCCTGCAGTCACACTGAATTGTAGGTGTTTTGTATGCTTCTCAGGTGTACTTAGTGGATTTTATTAATTCTTTTTCTTCTGGAAGACACTGCTGCTTTTTTTGCCATCATATTGGAGCCAAAAACCACATACATCTCAGTGGATAAACATTTATTTTTATTTTAAAATAACCCAAGGGGGTTAGTGACATTTCAAAGGTCATTAATATTTGCTTTGGTGCACTTTAAGAAACAATGTACAAACTAATTCAGTCATGTTTTTCAGAATTGTTTTTATACATGACATGTTGCGCTTTAGGAAACATTGCATTATCATTTCTAAGGAGATAGTTTTTTTGTTTTACCTGCATGTGCAGTTTACAGGAGAGAACATAGAAATGTAGAAATTTTTCTAAGCACAATAGTGATTCTTTAGAGTAATAGGGCAAAGTCAAGGAGACAGAGCATCCTTGCATATTTAAATGGGATTCACTAAGGGATGGTCGGTGTGGGCTTATGGGATTCCTTTTACTCAAGGATTCTCACTGAGTCCAGCAGGGAGAAGGCCCTACCACTTACTGGACACCTACCATGTGCCAGGCACTGTGCATTTTTTTATCCTCACAGCATCCTGTGAGGTAGGTATTATTTCTTCCTTTCTACAGGTGAAGAAAGCGAGTCTCAGAGACTAAAATTCTGCCCAACGTTAGTGGTAGAGCTACAATCCAAAAAAATTGGTCAAAAGTCTTGAGGCTGTTTGTTTCACTGTGCCACGCAGGCACATCATTCATCATTCAGGTTTAGATGCTGCAGAGTCAAGAGGGAACTTTGTATATCCTTTTATTTTTTTAAGACTATAACACCTTTAAAAAATCATTTTTTTAATTTCCAAAAGAAATATGAAACTATTGTAGAAAGCCTGGGGAATATAAAAATGAAATGAAATCTCTCCCAACCCTCCTTTTACAGTGGGACTTTAAAGTCTCAGATAAATAAGGCTATCAGGAAATAAGGTGATTTTTTTGGTTTATACAAGTGACTTACAGTTATGGAGAAGTTAAATTCAGCTGTATGTAGGTCTGGACCTGCAGGGCTAGAGGTGTCCTGTTGTTCAGCAATTTCTCAATGTTCTAGGGCTTCCAGAACAGCACTATTGCCTGTGCTTGCCCATAACAGAGCTGGAGTTTGTGAATGTGCTCAGAGGTGAGTCTCCCATAAAGAAGCAGATGTAAGCCCTTCTCTGAGCATAGAGCAAGTTGTAATAGGGCAGGTCTGGGGTTTCATATTATTTTTTTCTTGTTTACGATCTGATCCCCAAGGCGCATTCAGACCCTTTCTTTGGTCCCCTTCTCTCTCCAGCCACTGAGATGCTTTAAGAAATAGCTGACAGGGATGGGGCTTCAGACGAAGGCTGTAAGGGCTGAAAATGTAGCCTCTTGGCTATGTCATGGGCTTTATAAATGGTTAACCATGAACACTTAGGGATTTATAGCATCTTTTCTGAATTTTAGTGCTTTGTGAACCAGTGGGGAAAAGGAGCCCCTGTTTCTTCAGTTGTACAACCAGAGAGTGGATTAGTTGAAGCTACTGTCTGACCCAGCTATAATGGGCTTTCCTCCACGTGAGAGTGGAGATTTTGGAGAGCACAGTTGGCGTCAGCCTCACTCTCTGGTCTCCAGTATTACTTCTGTACACTTTATTTTACTAGCTGTTTCTTAACATTGAACGTCTGAAGAGCACGGGACACAGTATCAGGAGTTAAGGCTTTGGCAGGTTGACCGCATCACAAAAGACCTGGGAAACCCTGTTCTTGAAATTCTAATGGTGTCAGAACTCATTCTCCAGTAAAAGAACTTTTTATGGACTCAAGCATATTATTTAACATGTTTTGGAATCATCTGATGATGGTCACCTACCTCTTTGGTTTCTGCTTCTATGATTCACAGGTAAAATTTTTGTGTCCATAGGGACTTTATAAAACACAAACACTATGGTAAATACTAGCAGCACGTAGAAGGGTATCATGCTTTCCACTTTCAATATAAACTGGATTTCAAGCAGATATTAAGTATATTTGAAATTAGACTTTCTCTAAGGAAAGTTAGCATGCTCTGTATTCACCTTACATATATTGGCAGTAGGCCTTTGAGACTCCTTTCAGGTTGGAGTTGAAACTGAGCTTTTGTTGTCTTTGTCATTTTTCTGTGAGCAATCCTTTGGTCCTTTTGTGCTGTCTGTCAGGCAGTGTTATCACTTGCTGAGAGCTCTGGAGTGCCTGCTGAGATGCTCGGTGTTTGTGAAAGAAAACCGAAGAAAGGAGCCTTTGGGAGAATTCAGCAACACCGATCAGCAGTTCTCTTTACACTGGATAATCTTGATCAGCTGACAGTTTACAAACATTTTGAACGTTTTTTTAATTATGTATACAATTTGAAAGTTTTTAAAAAAGTACTATGGAGTACCTTTGAAAAATTTAGGTGCAGACTCATATGTTGCCTATTCCCCTAGATTTTCTTGAGGGGAAAATAAATACCACTACTAATTATCACCACTGACTGACATAATGAGAAATGTTTTTGTTTTTATTTTTCTTCTGGCTAATAAGTAAGAAGCATGAAAGACACAGTGAAATATTTGTGGTTAAAAGAAATCCCTAATAGTCTGCAGTAGTGATATTCAAACTTTACTATGAATGTGTATCTGAGTATTCCCAGGGGTGTGTGGACCATGCAGCCACCCGGGACCCCCGAGGGTCTGGGACTGGGCCCAGGAATGCATGCTTGGGTTTTGTTGAGCACGCGCCCTGATTCTGACACAGGTGGTCCCTGAGGCATACTTCAAGAAACACTTATGTTGAAAATAGACCTGTTTCAGCATTGTCTGTTTTAATAAAAAATGTTTGTTTTGTGTTGGAAGCCATTATCTTCTAGTGCATGGGTAATCCTCTTTGAGAGGAAAATCTCCTTCTCACTGAGCCTAATATGCTGCCACGTGTGTTAGTGCTGGGACTCCCCCAGTATTAGCTGTACGTTCTTTCAACTGGCAAAATCTGGTCAACCAATCTTGTTTCACAGTAGAGCAAAAGGAGTGACTTAATATTTGAAAGCATGACTTTCTGGAGTCTAATTCCCCTAATATCTTCTTTTCTCCTAGAGAGATATCTTTATTGGATGTAACCTCCTGAAGAGTCTGAGGGGAATGGAAAGGTTCATCTAATTCCTGTTGCTCTGCTTATGCCAGTTGTGTTCAATGGAAGCATGAAGAAAATAAAATAACCTTTTAAATCTATGTATTTTGGTTGCTAACAAAGATATTTAATTTTTTCTTGGTCTTTGCTTTTGTTTACATGAAAATGTTTATGGACATATCACAGAAAAATGTTCACTTGCTTGACATTTTATTCTTCCATGATTTTAATTTAAGTTAAAGGACTGCTTAATTCACATTTATTTTCTCAACCATAGTCCTTCAAAACTGCCTTCATTGAAAACTCAATTTTTATAATAAAAATATCAAAACACTTGTTTGTTATTACAGGTAAATGGTAATACATTTCTTAGATATATATTGGTACTAGTACTTTGTAATTAAAAATAATTTATTTTACAATAGTACCTGACCTGTATGGGAGAGGGGGCACTTTGAATTTTTGGCTGTTAATATTTAGAAATCAAAAAGTATGGTTATTTGTGCATATTCTTATTACAACCAGGAAAAGTGCTCCCAATAAGAAAATGAATAAATGTTTAACATTTCTAAAAGTGGAGTTTTTTTTTTTTAAGGAGTACTTCATCTTTTTTTAGAAAAATTGTCATGAATAATACTTTATGTTAAATTAAAATCTGAGTTTAGTTTTAAATCCTTTTTGGGGTTCTAATTTTCAAATTAGCTCTCAAAGCCTGTTCATGTGTAATTGTACTCTAGTTTTAGAAGTTCCCAGGGTACTTAAGGATGAAATAAAATTTGGAAAGAGATCATTGGTATTAACAGTTTTAAGAAATTCTGTCTGGAAGAGTTACGCAAATTTTACAGCTGAGTCATTTAAAATTAGATTGTCACTTGGCACATCAATGACAGTATCTGTTCCTATTTTGACAAAATGATTTCATATTGTGCTTCCATTTCTAAAATCTAAGGCCTATCTAAAACCTATTAATCTTGATTGTAGGTCCTTGCTTTTTAACACTTTAAACATTTCTTGCCAGTCCCCTACAGCCTGCAAAATTTCTGTTGAGAAATCAGCTGACAGTGTTATGGGAGCTGCCTTATTGGTACCTAACTGCTTTTCTCTCGCTGCTTTTAAGAGTCTCTCTTTGCTTAACCTTTGGCATTTTAATTATGATGTGTCTTGGTGTAGGCCTCTGGGTTTATCTTGTTTGAGACTCTGTGCTTCCAGGACTTGCATGTTTATTTCCTTCACCAAGTTGGGGAAGTTTTCTGTCATTTTTTCAAATAGGTTTCCAATTTCTTGGTCTCTCTCTTCCTTGTGACACCCCTATGATGCAAATGTTGGTATGCTTAAAGTTATTCCAGAGGCTCCTTACATCATCCTCATTTTTTTAATATTCTTTTTTCTCCTTGCTGTTCTGATTGCTTGTTTTTTGCTTCCTTATATTCCAAATTGCTGATTTGATTCTTGGCTTCATCCATTCTACTGTTGATTCCCTATAAATTGTTCTTTATTTCAAACAGTGTATTCTTTTTTGACTGTTTTTTTTTGTTTGTTTGTTTTGTTTTGATGCTGTCGAGGTCCGCACTAAGTTCCTTCAGCGTCCTTGTAACAGTGTTTCTGCATCTAGTACATTGCTTGTTTCCATTTTGTTTAGTTGTTTTTCTAGAATTTTGTTCTGTGCTTTCATTTGGGCCATGTTTCTTTTCTCCACATCTTGGCAGCCTCCCTGTCTTTGTTTCTATGTATTAGGTTGAGCTGCTACCTTTTCCAGGGTTGGTAACATAGCCTAATATAGTAGGTGTCCTGTATGGTTCAGTGGCACAGTCTCCTGTTTTACCCAAGTTGGGTACTCAGGATGCACCCACTCTGTGGGCTGTGTACACCCTCCGTTTGTAGTTGAGTCTTGATTGCTGTTGGTACATCCAAGGTCAGCCACCAACTGTGTTCTGTCTGAGATCACACAGCATAAGCTATAAAGTGATACACAGATGGCTGCTACTTGTGCTGGGTTTGAAGGCGCCCAGGCAGAGCCATGCTGTGAATCAAGGCGGAGAGCTGCTAGTGTTGGGCCTGGGGCAATTTAATGAGAGCGTATGGGGCTTGGGACTTGCTGAAGACAGATGCTGCTTTTATGGAAGAATTTAGGAAAATCTGAAGCATGAGCCAAGAAAAGCCGTTCATATGGGAAAGCCGCTGGAAAACAGCTTGGTTGGGCCTGAAAGTTGGGTGGGGTAGGGCCTCGGAATCACCAGTGTGGAATAAACAGTGGGAGCCTGGTTGACGGAGTCTCAGATATGGTGCCTGCCTGCCTGCCTGCCAACTCAGTTACTCTGTGGAGGGAGGGCTCAGGAAAAGAACAGTGGCCTGTGCCAGCAATTCTCT